CGCGCTCAGTCCACTGTGTGCAGGCAACACAGTTCGCCCGGTACCGCCGCCGCACGGTCTCGCCGGCGTCAGCAGCAGGCTCAGCGGGAGTCGTGGGGGCCTGAAGGGATCCCGACGTGTGCTCGAGCAGGAGACACCATCTCTAAGGAAATGCCGGAGATACCGGTGCAGGCCAACGAGCTAGAACCGAACATGAAAGGGCGTCCGTCGGCGTCAACCGCTAGGACAGTGAGAGTGGCCATGGAAGGCAGTGGCAGTAGTAGTAGGAGTGGTGGCGCCAGTAGGACTAAGGCGTGCTAAGGGCGCTCGACGGGCTACTGGAGGGGCGCACTCTAGGGACGCGCCACGGGTAGAATAAACGGGCAGCAGTAGAGGCGCGCCACGGGCAGAAAACGGGTAGCACTAGGGGTGCATGTCGAGCGGAAAACGGGCAGCACTAAGAGGCGCACACTAGGGGCTCGCCACGGGCAGAATACGAGCAGTACTAGGGGCGCACTTAGGGCAGAAAACGGCCGCGTCCTAAGCTGCAGGGCGCACGGGCTGCAGGGGGCACGGGCTGCAGGGCGCGTGAGCTGCAGGGCGGCGCGCGGGCTGCAGGGCAGGGCGGCACGGCGGCGCGCGGGCTGAAGGGCAGGGCGGCGCGCGGGCTGCAGGGCAGGGCGGCGCGCGGGCTGCAGGGCAGGGCAGCGCGCGGGCTCCAGGGTAGGGCGGCGCGCGAGCTGCAGGGCAGGGCGGCTCGCGGTCTTCAAGGCAGGGCGACGCGCGGGCTGCAGGGCAGGGCCGCGTGCAGGCTGCAGGGCAGGGCGGCGCGCGGGCTGCAGGGCAGGGCGGTGCGCGGGCTGCAGGGCAGGGCGACGCGCGGGCTGCAGGGCACGGCAGCGTGCGGCCTGCAGGGCAGGGCGGCGCGCGGACTGCAGGGAAGGGCGGCGCGCGGGCTGCAGGGCAGGGCAGCACGGGCGGCGCGCGGGCTGCAGGGCAGGGCAGCGCGGGCGGCGTGCGGGCTGCTGACGGGCAGCGCGGGCAGCGCGAGCAACGTGCGGGGCAGGGCAGAAACGTCGGGCAGGGCAGGGCAAAAATCTACCGACGGGCATGACGGAACAAACGGTGGGCCCTAAGAAAACCGGTCCCATAACGGGACCTGCTCTGAAACCATGTTAGAATCTAAGTGAGAGAATGAATTATGAGACTAGCAACAAGGGTGATACAGATGTGGAACCCTAATGGGTTGTACCCCCTAGTGAGTACCCCATGATAGCCTACAGTGATATTTTTTCATTTGACATACATAAATATGTATATATAGCAATGCAAACATTGGAAGGAACAAGGGGCAAGCATACAGTGAACGAGGGCCTGTCTGAACAAGGCCAAGCTATGACCAAACTTGTGGTAATCACTAGGTGGAAGGGTCTTGGTGAAAATGTCCGCATTGTTGGCGGTGAGGCCACAAAGACAAGGCGTGCCTGGCCGCGTCACTCCAGCTCTCGCAACTGGATGTATTGTACATGGACGTGCTTCACTCTGCTCTTCGGTCGAGGCCCTCGACACAGGAGGATCATGGCCTTGTTGTCAGCGAACAAGGTCCGTGCAAACCTATGCCGCTCACCTAGGTCAGTGAGCAAGAAAGACAGCCAACGGAGCTCCTGAGCAGCCATGGTGCCGGCGTAGATCTTGACCTCAGCACTGGACGAAGCCACAGACGACGACCGAGTAGACCTCCAAGACAAGTTCCAGAGCCCAAGCTGAAACAGTACCCTTGAGTAGACCTGCTGGTCTCCTCGTTGTGCGCCCAGGACGAGTTGTAGTGCCCGGCTGAGTCCCTCTAAGCACAAGCCCCATGCCTGATATGGTGGCCAGGTACTTCACTACCCTCTTAGCAGCCGTCCAGTGAACCTGACGGCATCTCCCGGTCGCAACAAAGCGAGTAAGGACGCTGAGACGATAGGCCAGGTCCGGTCGTGTACTCGTCATCCGGTACATGAAGCAACCCACAAGCTTTGCGTAGCACGCACCAATCTCAACTGGCTCGTCGGAAACAGATGAAGTGAGCCTGTGGTCAAGAGCAAGAGGAGTGGACTGTGCGGTGGAAAACTGGAAGCCGAAACACTGAAGGACGTGTTGCACCATGTGTAACCGAGTCAGAGTGATGGTGTGAGCAGCTCTGTCCCGGGTGATCCGCAAGCCAAGGTAGCTGCGCAGTTCACCAAGGTCAGTGCAACTGTCTCTTCTGTAGTTCCGACTTCACCTCAAGCCAAAGCAACCCTGTCTGTAGTATCGAAGACCAAGTCATCGACTTAGACGAGGATGAAGAAGGGAGTGGATCCAGAGCAAATGAAAAGTGACAGGTCGGCTGAAGAAAGACTGGACACGAGGTCAGCAAGAGTAGAGCAGATAGTGTCGTGCCACTCTCGTGGTGCCTGGCGGAGACCGTAGATTGGTCGCATCAAGCTCCACTGGGTCCCAGGCGGGAAAGTGAAGGTGAAGCCAGGAGGACGGCACTAGATCTCCTTGTGCAGGCTACCCTGAAGGAATGCAGTGGAGAAGTCTAGCGAGTGGAGCCCGTAATCACATTGTGCTTCGACGTGCAGGAGTACCCGAAGAGTAGTCATCTTTGGGGTAGGGGAGAAGGTATGAGTGAAGTCAACTCCCTCACGCTGACTAAAGCCTCTCGCCACATAGCGCGCCTTGAAGACATTCGGCGATCCAGGCGGCAGCTTGACCTTGAAGATCCACATGCCATCGACCACGTTCGCCCCAGGAGGGGGAACTGCGTCAACGTAAGTGCCTGTGGAACTCCGAGGCGCCATCTCTAAGTCCATAGCTGCTGTCTACTAGGAAGAACAGGGTCCCGAAACCGACTTAGTATAAGTGCGAGGAGTCGAGATGTCTGGAGCGCCAGGGTCTCCCGCAGGGACTAGCAGCATGGCACATAGAACATGAGCTAAGGAACACTAGCAGCGGCCGCAAGGAACACGAGCTCAAATTGCCTGTCCTCTAGTACTTTACAGCCAAGGGCAAGCTCACCACCGGCGGACAGAGGACGGGTAGGGAGGAGCAGCCACCAAGCGGGTGGTGTAGTCAAGGCTGCGGGTGGAGGCAAAGTCAGTGAGAGCAGAGACAAGAGCCGAGACGGAGGACGAGAAAGCAGTAGGGTCAGCGACGAGAGAGGAGAAATCACGAGAGACGACAGGGCGAGCAGTACGATAGTAGTCAGTGAGAGGCAGTGAGGAAACAGTGAGAGCTGACGAATGAGGCAACGAGAAGACAAACGGCGGTGGGACACGAGGAGGGATTGTACGAAGAAACATGTAGTGGAGGTCCGGGACACTAGAGGAGGGACGAGCACTCGGAGAACGACGTGACCAAGGAGTAGAGGCTAGAGACGGAGACGGAAGGAGAGGAGGGGACAACTGTGACCGAGGAGGAGAAGCAGGACCGTACACAAGAGGAGACGGCGAGTGGTCGGGAGAAGGAGAAGGCAAACCAAGAGTTCGACGACAACTCACAGGCGGCGACGACTGCTGCTGCTGCCGTTGCCACCGCCGCTGCTGCTGATGTCGCTGCCGTTGCTGCTGCTGCTGCTGCTGCTGCTGCCGTAGAAGTTGAAACCTCGTCGGGTAACGAGGGACGACTGGGGCAGATGCCCTGCAGCACCTCTAAAATTAGCACCTCCAATTGCTGCACCCCTAGAACCCACACCTCCAGCTCGAGCACCGCCAACGCCAGCACCCCCAAAACCGGTACCTCGAGCTCCAGCACACCCAGAACATGTTGCTTGCATGTTGCTCTCAAAAGAGCCTGTAATATGATGCCAGCTGCCCTGCCACGCACCCAGTAGGACAGGTGCGGTCATCTACTCGTCGTTGGATCCTCCCAACTGCCGTATCGCATGTTGTGTGATACTCTGAGCCTGCGCATGCAATGCTATGGAGAAACGTGTAGTGAGTCCCGTATAGAATATTCGTGCTGATCCGTCATCCCTCTAAATCCCTCCTCTGCGCACAAAGCCCCCGGAACTGCCACATCGGCTCGCTGAGTAACCCAAAAGTTTCCACCAAACACGCATAGAAATGTGGAGGCGGCTGCTGCTGCCTCTGAGGGTTTACTCGGCTGCTGCGCCTATCTGTATGGGGGTCAATCGACATGTGAGTAGAAGGCACTGTTCTCCATGCACTCGATGCCGTCGGAGGAATGTGCCTTGATGCCGCCAAAGCGGTGACATTTTGGGGGGCAGCCAAAAAAAACGTGTCAAACCTGACGATGCCGTCCGAACCAAAACGGCATGGCATTGGCTGCAGAACGGGTCATTTAACGACGACATCAAAAGAGTAAGAAGCAACCGCACAGTTTCCCGCTCTGGCAAATTGTGGTGCCTGTGCTACCCCATGGCAAACCACTCAGAAGAGGTGAATCACCTCGACATGACAGATCGATAGGCCAATTGGGGAAACCCGAATCACACAACGCTGGAAAGGAAAACGCAACCAAAGGCGCCCTTGCAGTAACCCGAAATGTGCCTGACGACCTGCGTTTTTGTGGGTGGGTGTTATTTTAGTTTTCCAATTGCTTTTTACCCAACCCTGGCCCATCTGGATGCAGAAATTTGTCTAGAGCCCGTGACGAAACTAGTACAACAGGGGTGCGGAAATCTCACTTCTCGGGCCCTCGCTTTCGGGGGCCGAAATACGAAACTTCCCTTTTGGCGGGGTGGTTCGGGCGCCAGAGGAAGTTTCTAGCGAAATGCGACAGATGCCGCTGCCATGCCGATGCCACCTGCTTGAAGAACATTGCCGAAGAGTGTTGGGGGGAGGGAAGTGAAGGTGAAGGCCAAGAAGTTCCCGTTGCCGGGACTTGAACCCGGGTCTCTCGGGTGAGAGCCGAGTATCCTAACCGACTAGACTACAACGGACATGTGTTTGTTTAACGTAAAAATGCTTTTATAGATAATGGTTTAAAATCGCATCGCACCGCTTGCGACGACGATAGGCCATGTGGTTGTGATGACTCCTTCTCTCTCCGTCGCCCTGCACGGAGGCGGTCGCGTGCTCAGCATTCAGTCGCATACTGTTCAGGTATTCACCGCATGCAGTCGTTTACCGTCCAGGTATCCATCGCACTCAGTCGCAGACCGTGAAGGAATTTGTCGCATTCAGCCGCTCCCCTCCAGTTAGCATTCACCACGCGTAAGCCTGATAACGACACGAAAGACAACGTCGTTATTCTACCCCAGCGTAACGAAGGCAATGCAAGGTAGGGTTTTTAGGTTACTTAGGTAACCCTATGGCAGCCAAAGCAACCCCCTGATAAGCTCTTTGTTGGCCAAGAGCCCCTCTCAAGTTCCTCTCTCAGGTGTCCTCTCAGGTGTCCTCTCAGGTGTCCCTCTCAGGTGTCCCTCTCAGGTGTCCCTCTCAGGTACCTAGTAGGATAATGCGTTGCTTAGGGGGTCGCATAGGTGAGCCTGTATGAGGTGATGGGAGCGTAAGTACGATAATGTGCAGCTGCGTTTAGTGTGAACTTGTGAATGCTTGTGCTTGATCCTGTCAAATCCTGAATGCTTGTACATTGTAACCCTGACAGTTACCTTGTTCACCCTGACAAACTGGTTCGTACTCAGGTCCATGCAACCAGGGCTATGTGGGCAACAAGGCGGCCGTGTTTTTCCCCTGCACCTGCTTCATTTTAGCCGAATGGCATGCTCATGGTTCAACAAAACCCTAAGAGAAACGCCAAACCCTTTTTACCATGTTGGCTGTTGTTGCGGCAGGGCTATGTGGGCAACAAGGCGGCCGTGTTCCCCCTGCAGCTGCTGGGCTTTGATGTGGACCCCCTCAACTCCGTGCAGCTCTCCAACCACACTGGTGCGAATGTTGGTAACCGCACTGGTGCGAATAGTGGTAACCGCACTGGTGCATATAGTGGTAACCGCACTGGTGCATATAGTGGTAACCGCACTGGTGCATATAGTGGTAACCGTACTGGGCGGGACGGGCACTTGTCCATCCCATCTGTGTGCCGTGCCTGCTGCTCCAGGGTCCATCACTCCTCCCACGCACCTCACCACACACCCCATGCGTCCCATGTGTGCTGCTGCAGGGTACCCCACGTGGAAGGGGCAGATACTGGATGGAGAGCAGCTGTGGGCGCTGATAGAGGGGTGGGAGAGGGGCGAGACTGGCAAGACGGGCCCTCGTCTCTGCTCTGTGACACGAGTGCCTTGAGATTTACGCATCCTGTGTGTTCAGTGTAAACCCATGTCAATCCTCTGTTCCCTGCTTGCCTGCCACCATGCCCCATCAAACCCGTGCAGGGTACCCCACGTGGAAGGGGCAGATACTGGACGGGGAGCAGCTGTGGGCGCTGATAGAGGGGCTGGAGGCCAATGGGCTGCTCTTCTACACGCACCTGCTCACTGGTGGGTCACCCTGCTGTGCACTGTGCACGTGTGTTGACGGTACAGTGGCACTGTGTGTTGATGGTGCGGTGGCGTGTCACATGTGTGCACTGCACACCTGCACTCATAAGAGGGGCTAGAGGTCAATGGGCTGCTCTTACACGCACCTGCTCACTGGTGGGTGCACTTGTGGGTGGACGTGTGATGACTCCTCTCCTTGCCCATGTGCACTGGTGGTGGTGTGCCTTGATGCTCATGACTTGTAAGTGCGCATTGAGAGACGGGCTGGAGGCCAATAAGATGCCTTTCTAAACGCACCTGCTCTGCTCACGGATGTGCTGGTTCTTTCTTATCTCCTCGCCCATCCGTGCATTGTCGTGCTTTCACATTTACTTCTAGTCTAGATGCCATTGGTGTGTCGGTTTCTACACGCTCCTGCTCACTGAAGTGTGATTTTCTTCCACACGCACGCTGATGCGCATGCATGCGCCCATTCTAACTGACCTCCTCACGTCACACCCACGGTTCCATCACATCACCTCCTCTCTCTTTTTCTCTACCCTTGGCTCTCCCTTTTTCTCCCCCCCCCTCCAACCAAGCAACGTCGGGTCGTTCTCCTTCCTGGAAACTGTTCTGAGGGTTGTGGAAAAGCTAAGATCAATCAACACCCATCTCACACTGATGCGCCTAACATCACTTTTGAGGCGCCTCAAAAGTACACCCATCTGACACTGATGCGCCTAACATCACTTTTGAGGCGCCTCAAAAGTACACCCATCTGGCACTGATGCGCCTAACATCACTTTTGAGGCGCCTCAAAAGTACACCCATCTGGCACTGATGCGCCTAACATCACTTTTGAGGCGCCTCAAAAGTACACCCATCTGGCACTGATGCGCCTAACATCACTTTTGAGGCGCCTCAAAAGTACACCCATCTTGCACTGATGCGCCTAACATCACTTTTGAGGCGCCTCAAAAGTACACCCATCTGACACTGATGCGCCTAACATCACCGCCTCTCATCTCCATCACTGTTCCATAGTCAACCTCTCTCCTCTCTCTTCCCTCCCGCCAGGCTACATCGGATCGCTCTCCTTCCTGGAAAGTGTCCTGAGGGTTGTGGAGAAGCTCAGATCAGTCAACCCCAACTTAATATATGGTAAGTTCTGGGTTTACCCAAACCTGATGTCTGGCAGTTTTTGGGTCAACCCCAACGAAATATATGGTAAGCTCTGGGTTTACCCAACTCTGATGTCTGGTAGTTTTTGGGGTAACCCCAACCTAATGTACAGTACTTTCTGGGTTAACCCTGACCTGATATACGCTTCATGGGTTCGCCCTGACGTGGTATACGGTAATTTTCGGGCGAACCCTAACCTGATAAACGGTACTAGGAAAGGAATGAGCAACGAACCGAACCAAAGTCGGTTTGTTCACGCTCGAACCTGATTGCTTCAACTTCAACCCGAACCAATTCTGGTCGAACCGTTTTGTGAGCATGCCGGATCCCGGTTGGGTTCCAACCAGTGCTGGTTTGGTCCGACCATAGGTATAGAAGAGAAGAAGAGATGAAACGTTGCTCCCAGCCCTCACCGCTGCTTCACATTTCCTTGCCCTCCTCCTGCTGCCTGCCCTCTCAGCCCACCTCTCCTCACTCTCCCTCCCCTCGCAGTGTGCGACCCAGTGATGGGGGGTCGATGGCTCTTTGTGGCGCCTCAAGGATGGCTTGCTGGCTGCACCCCACCCCTCTCCCCTCTCTTCCACCCAACCTCCCTCCCCACCCTTCCCCTTGCAGTGTGTGACCTAGTGATGGGGGACGACGGCCGCAAAAATTAACTGCTGCCTGTTCCTCTCTCTTACCTCCCCTCTCCCCCCATCTCCCCCCTCCCCTCACGTTATGTGATCCAGTGATGGGGGACGACGGCCTTCTCTACATTGCTGCTGCTCCTTGCCACCTCTCCTTAATCTCCCCCCACCACCCCTCCCCCCCATCCCTCCTCTCCCCTCACAGCATGCGATCCAGTGAAGTGATGGGGAATGACGGCCGTCTCTACATTGCTGCTTCTCCTTGCCACCTCTTCCCCCACCTCTCCTTACCCTCCTCGCCTACCTCTCACCTCTCCCCCCCATCTCCGCCCTCCCCCCACGGTGTACAATCCAGTGATGGGGGATGACGGCCGTCTCTGCATTGCTGCTTCTGCTTGCCACCTGCTTCTCCCCCGCCTCCCCTTACTCATCCCCCCCCTTTTCCCCCATGTCTCCCCTCTCCTCACAGTGCGTGATCCAGTGATGGGAGACGATAGCCGTTGAGGCTTCCCATTCCCACAAGTAAGGCCTGCTGCCCCCGCTCTCCCCCCACCCCCCCTCCCCCCCCCATCTCCCCTCTCCGCTCACAACGTGCGATCCAGTGATGGGGGACGACGGCCGACTCTACATTGCTGATTCTCCTTGCCACTGCTCCCCCCCACCTCTCTTCACCCTTCCACCCATCTTCCCCATCCCATGTCTCCCCTCCCCTCAGAGTGTGGTCTCCAGTGATGGGAGGCGATTGCCGTTGAGGTGAGGCTCCTCGTGTAAGGCCTTCTGCCCCCACTCTCCCCCCACCCCCCTCCCCCTTCTCCTCATGTCTCCTCTGCCCTCGCACTCACAGTGTGCGATCCAGTGATGGGGAACGACGGCCGACTCTACATTGCTGCTTCTCCTTGCCACTTCCCACCCCCACCTCTCCTTACTCTGCCCTCTTCCTTTCCCCCATGTCCACCCTCCCCTCACAGTGTGCGATCCAGTGATGGGGGATGACGGCCGTCTCTACATTCGCCCCGAGCTCGTCCCCATCTACCGCCACCAGGTGCCACCAACACACCTGCCCAATCCACCAGGTGCCACCAACACACCTGCCCAATCCTCCAGGTGCCACCAACACACCTGCCCAATCCACCAGGTGCCAACAACACACCTGCCCAATCCACCAGGTGCCACCAACACACCTGCCCAATCCACCAGGTGCCACCAACACACCTGCCCAATCCACCAGGTGCCACCAACACACCTGCCCAATCCACCAGGTGCCACCAACACACCTGCCCAATCCACCAGGTGCCACCAACACACCTGCCCAATCCACCAGGTGCCACCAACACACCTGCCCAATCCACCAGGTGCCACCAACACACCTGCCCAATCCACCAGGTGCCACCAACACACCTGCCCAATCCACCAGGTGCCACCTACACACCTGCCCCCTCGAGAGCCACATTCACATTCAGGTGCCAACTCCTCTTGCAAGCGAGTTCTGAGTTTTGTCACAAGCCAGCAGGTGCCATCTATACTGACAGGCACCCAATTTCTCAATCTCTGTATATCCAACTCAGCTCTCATCCCTGTTGCTCAGCCTGCCAGGTCATGCCAATGGCGACTCTCCTTACGTTCAATCAACCAGTCTCCCAAGTTCCTGATCTTGCGATGGATGTCTATAAATTTTGCAGAGCTCTCATCCCTGTTGCTCAGTGTGCTGCTATGCTGCCTGGCAGGTGGTGCCAAAGGCGGCGCTCATCACGGCCAATCTCCCAAGCACCCAAACGCCCAAGTTCCTGATGTCTTGATGTTTACATAATTCACTGAGCTCTATTCGCCCTTGATTGGCATGCTCCTGTGCTCGCAGGTGGTGCCAGTGGCGACGCTCATCACTCCCAACCAATTCGAAGCAGAGCAGCTCACAGGCCTCAGGTGAATCTCTCCAAACTCGTCTCTCTCTCTCCATGTCATGTCGTGTCTGCTCTGCCGCAACACTCGCCCTGCCGTTACTTGCACCCTGATTCATGCACTAACTGCCCATTCACCCTCTCTCGCCTCTGTTTCCTTCCCTCCCCCCCAGCATTCAAACTCAAGCAGACGCCATCACCGCATTGCATGTGGCACGCTGCATGCATGCTGCAGGACGGGACCCAGAGAGGCAAATGTGTATGGCCAGAAGAAGCAGAAATGGAACTGTTGCTGATGCTGGCACTACCCAATCACCGTCTCTCCCCTCCGCTTCCCTCCCTCCCGCACCTACCAGCATCCGGACTCAAGCAGACGCCATTACTGCATGCGACATGCTGCATGCTGCAGGGCCCAGGAAGGTATGTGTGGCTACAGGCGAGGAAGAACAGTAGGTAGGTAAAGGGACATTCGGGTATATCTAAAATGTTTCAAATAAAGGTGCGACTGACAGCCGATTCGAATGGCATGATGCATGTGGCGCGCTTCATGGCTGCGTGCGGGGCCCAAAAGGGCATCGCATTGAATCATGTAAGCGTATGCAGGGGAAGGGGAGGAAAGGGGAGGAGAAAGGAGAAATGGACAGACCTGCTGGTAATGGCATGGTGGGCTTGCTGACGTCATGGTGGACGCGCTGACGTGATGGTCTGCTTGCTGGCAGCGCCTCTCTTAAGCTCGCTCAAGTTCAACCCTTTGAGGCAGCGCCTCCCTTGAATCCGCTCAACTTCTTTCAACCGCTTTCAACCACTCCCACCAGGTGGTGATCACGAGCATGGAGGTGGAGGGGCGGTTGCTGGTGGTGGGGAGTGACGCCAGCAGCCCTGCTGCAGAGGAGGTGAGTGAGGTGAGGCGGCAAATGGAGGGTGTTGGTCTGGTGGTTGGTTGAGGTGTGGTTTGAGTTGACTCAAACACATCCGGATGGGCGGTTGCTGCTGGTGGGGAGGGACGCCAGTAGTCCTGCTGCGGAGCCGGTGAGTGAGAGGACATGGAGGGTGTTGGTCTGGTGGTTGGTTGAGGTGTGGTTTGAGTTGACTCCTGGACATGCTGCTTGCCCTGGTGGTGGGGAAAGTCGCCGATAGCCGTGCTGCAGAGGAGGTGAGTCAGGTGAGGCGGCATGAGTGTGTTTAAGTCGACTCAAAACACGTCCCTACTGCAGAGGAGGTTAGTCAGGTGAGAGGGCAAATTATGTCAGGTCAGGTGAGTCAGGAGGTGAGTGAGATGAGGCGGCATGGAAAATGTCAGACTTGTTATTGATTTGTGTTTTGAGGCAATTCAGAACACACCTGGATTGAACATACTGCTGCTGCTGCTGCTGCTGCTGCTGCTGCTGCTGCTGCTGCTGCTGCTGCTGCTGCTGGTGCTGCTGCTGTTGCTGCTGGTGCGGTGCTGTAGAGGAGGTGTGTGAGGCGGCAGCAAGAGCTGGTTCAGAGTGAGAGGAGGTGTGGGAGGCAGCATGGGGAGTGTCGGTCTGGTGGTCAGTGCTCATTTTGGCACGTGAAACGGATGCTATGCTGCAGAGAGGTGGGTGAGACGGCATGGCAGCAAGAGCTGGTTTTGAGTGAGAGCATGCGAGTGAGGAGGCATGGGGGGCGGCGATCCGATGGTCAGTGTTTGTTTTGGCACGGGGAGTGAAACGGACGCCATGCTCCAGAGGAGGTGGGTGAGGCGGCATGGGGAGTGTTGGTCTGGTGGTCAATTTCTGAGTCGACTCAAAGTATAAACCGCGTGTAATGAGACGATTTTCTAGTCGACTCAAAAAGGTTTGTTTCGGCATGAAGAGTGAAACGGACGCCATGCTGCGGAGCTGGATGAGGCGGCATGGGGAGGGTTTTACAGGGTGGCTGGCATGTGAGGCAACTCCTTTTTTGTTCAGCGTTGGCAGGGCAGCGTTGGCAGGGCAGCGTTGAGCCCTTGTCCTGACCTTGGAAGACAGATGTCTATTCTGCTGTCCCCCTGCCCTCTCCCCTTTTCCTCTCCCCTTTTCCTCTCCCCTTTTCCTCTCCCCTTTTCCTCTCCCCTTTTCCTCTCCCCTTTTCCTCTCCCCTTTTCCTCTCCCCTTTTCCTCTCCCCTTTTCCTCTCCCCTTTTCCTCTCCCCTTTTCCTCTCCCCTTTTCCTCTCCCCTTTTCCTCTCCCCTTTTCCTCTCCCCTTTTCCTCTCCCCTTTTCCTCTCCCCTTTTCCTCTCCCCTTTTCCTCTCCCCTTTTCCTCTCCCCTTTTCCTCTCCCCTTTTCCTCTCCCCTTTTCCTCTCCCCTTTTCCTCTCCCCTTTTCCGATCATTTTCTCACTCTCCATTCAATTTCTGTCACTAATTAGGCCCCTGCCCTTGCCACCCTCACATACACCACCCTGTCTCCCGCTCTCCAATCCTCAAACATCTTTCAGGAGGGATCCGGGCCATCTGGATCATCTGGACCATCTGGAGCATCTGAATCACATTCCTTGCGGCGCTTCTGCATAGCAGTGCCAAAGATACCCGAGTACTTCACTGTATGGCACCCCCTTCTCACACTTTCCTTCTCACACTCCATCTCACACTCTCCTTCTCACCCTCTCCTTCTCACACTCTCCTTCTCACACTCTCCTTCTCACCCTCTCCTTCTCACCTTCTCGGACTCGTGCTATCTTTATTGTAAGGAGGTCTATTTCGAGTTGACACAAAATACGCCATGCCCAAGATTATCTGGACCATCCTGGGTGGGAACCGGATCCACCCAGCCTGGGTGGGGTTCCGTCCGAACCATCAGGGGTTGGATGGCATTCCACTATCCTTCTCTCTCTCCCTGACTTAAGTCATATGTAATACGTATTGTTCATCGTAACATGTAAGAAGGTGCTCGGTCGATGCAGAATACTCAGTGGCCCCAGAGTAAAAGGTCATGAGTGCCTGTGAGGCCAACCAGAGTAAAGGCCATGAGTGCCTCTGGTGCTTGACCTTGAGGCCAACCCTAAACCAGAGTAGAAGTCATGAGTTCCTACCTGGGGGCACTGGGTACCAACCAGAGTACTTACTTGACCTTGACGGTCAGTGTTAAACACACTCTCTCGCTCTCAACCCTCATCACTGCTGGGTTGTTGCGAAGTTGTGTTACGCCATTAGTGAGAGGCGGCTATCCCTAGGGGTAACCAAAGCTGTGAGGGATGTCAGTGGGGAGGCACTCGTGATTATTACGATTTTGTTATTTGTTTGAGACGTTTTAACCATTTATTTGACAATGCAGCGCATTTTCTCTTTAAGCGCGCTTACCTACATACCCATGAGTGATCATCCGTGCACCATGTGGTTATCATGTGCGTATCATGTGTTTACCATGTGCGTATCATGTGGTTACCATGTGCGTATCATGTGGTTACCATGTTGGTTCCAGGTGCATCATCACCAGTAGCTTTGAAATAGCACATGGTTATGCAATCTCTCTAACACTTTCCATGCCTCTTGCCATGTCCCGTTCCCACACATCACCTGCCTTATACAACATGCCATATTACATCACATGCCATCCCACATGCCATCCCACATGCCATCTCACCTGCCATTCCATATGCCATTCTGCATGCCATTCAACATGGCACATGACTCACCACCTGCAATCGCACATGACATGCTGTTTGTCCTGTCATACTAAATGCATTTGACATGCCACATCGCATGCCTTTCATATCCCATCCCCCAAACCATCCTCCATGCCATCCCCCATGCCATCCCCTGTGCCATCCCACATGCCATCCCAAATGCACGGCACACGTGCAGGGAACAGGAGATTTGATGACAGCCTTGCTGCTTGGATGGTCACATGTGAGTGGGGTAGTTATATGTGAGTGGGGCAGTTGCATGCATGTGAATAGGTCCGTTGCATGTGAGTGGGGCAGTTGCATGGCAGGCGTCTCATTGCATCTCAATCCTTCATAAGTCCCCTTGTGACATCTCACAGTGCTGCTTACAGCTTACTCCCTGATCCCGCATTTTTTCCCTCACTCCGCCCTTCCCCTTCCTCCCTCCCTCTTTTTCATCAGAAGTATCCCCACGACTTGGCTAGAGCAGCAGAGCTAGCAGTGGCATCCCTACAGGTGAGCAACTGCTGTTGCGCCTAGTGTTACTGTTTGTTGCTGCTCTGCTGTGTCTTTTATGCTTGACTAGCTGTCCTGTTTCAGCAGCAGAGCTGGCATTGTCATCCATACAGCGGAGCAGTTTCTGCTGGGCCGGATGCGATTGTGTGTTGCTGCTGGGCTGTCCTGATCTTTGAGGCAAGCCATATCAGCAAATCTGGCAGGGGCAACCTGTGGCATTGCAACCTTCCTGACTGCTCCTCTCCTCCCATCCTTCCTCCCTACAGGCTGTGCTCGCACGAACCCTGCAGCACCACTCTCAACCCCTTGGCAGCACCGATTCCTCTCTCACTCCCCCCACCCCGAAGCACCTTTAGCTCTGCCTTGTTCAGAGCCTCATGATGCAATCAGCCTTCTAATTCACTCCTCTCCACTCCCTCCCCACAAGCCGTGCTTACTCGCACCCTACATAATACCAACTCTTCCCAACCTGCTTCCACTCCCTGCCCTAACTCCCGCCCTACAGGCTGTGCTCGCACGCACCCTGCAGCAGCACTCTGTAGCTCGAGACAGCACCGACTCCTCTCTTACTCCCCCCACTCCCAAGCGCCTTGAGCTCTGCCTCGTTCAGAGCCGTGGTGACATTATGAACCCGCCTGTGGTGTTACGCGCACAAGCGGTCGAATGCGGTTTAGTTGGGTTAGATGGACTCCAGGATGGTGTGGCTTGCTTGGTGAGTGGTGATAATTTAGAGGTTCTGCAGGATGAGGGAGTTGATGCTCAGCTGAGAACTGAGAGCTGAGTTGAGTAAAAGATAGTTAAGGATGCAGTTTGTTTGGCACCAATTTATGGATCCACAACATCACAACAGCAACTCAGACAAAACTCTTGCAGCAAAACGCAAAACAAAAGGACTAGGGGGGTTTGGATTGGAACCCTCAAATCAAGATGGATTTGGACTACTACATACTAATTCTTCAAAATGAGATGTCTCAATTATTTCATAACCAGTAACTAGAAAAACACTTATTTTCATAAGAAACTGTGACGTACTGAGCTCCCGGAGTGATTCAAGGTGGGCCATACTGAGCTATCTCGCCAAGCAGCAAGGCAGACGAAGAGCAGCTGCGCACACGTTCTTCGCCCCTAGCGCGTGAAAAGGAGAGACGCTCTGATGCCAGCACCTGTCCAACTGGCAAGACGCACCAGGGTCTTGCGTGAAAGAGAAAGACGCGTCAGCAGTGGTCGCACCTGTGCAAGCAACAGATCCTAGACCAGTAGATCCTACACTAGCATCATGTACAGATCCTAGACTAAGCATACACGAATAATAAGGTCCAAGAACACTAGAGTCATCAGCAGGCATAGCAGGAAGTGTTAGAATATGGAAACACGAATGAATGCATTAGGCAGAAGTTGAGTAAAAGTACCTAACCCTAATTGGGTTGTACCCCATAGAACATGACCCACTACAGCCTAACATCACAATATTGTTTGACACACCCCCATAGGCGAAGTGGGGGATAGCAAGCATAATAAGCGGTCACAAGACCAGTCAAGAGAAGAAACAAATAACAAAGCTCAGGGTGGATCTCAAGGACACCACACACTCCGAGCACAAGCAAGCGGCCACAAGGCCAGTTCACATGCAGTTTGATAATAACACAAGCAGTACAATGATTACAACCTAGCAACCAGAAACATGCAGGTTTATATATCAAAGTACAAGACAATATCAAGAAACAAGCAAGTGAGGCAGGGTGGGCACAAGCCCAAGAGCAGTGCAGAAACGCTGATGATCACTAGACCCAAGGGCCTTGGTGAAGACATCAGCAGTGTTGGCCTGTGTGGCCACATAAGCAAGACGAAGCTGACCACGCTGCTGCAGCTCTCGCGTGAGGAAGTAACGGAGAGCAATGTGCTTCGTTCTGTGCTCCAGTGTCTGGTCCTGACACAAGGCAATCATGGCCTTGTTGTCGACGTACAGAACTGGAGGAGAACGAGGCCGCTCACCCAAGTCGGTCAGCAGGTAGGTCAGCCAGCGGAGCTCATGTACAGCCATAGCCCCAGCGTAGATTTCGGCCTCACAGCTGGAACTAAGTACAGAAGAAGAGCGAGTGGACCTCCACGAGACACAACCAGTGTCGAGGCTGAAACTGTACCCCTGTGTCGACCGGTGAGTCGTCTGGTCGTCAGCCCAAGAAGCGTCTGAGTGACCGGTGAGAACAACTGAACCCCGTCCTCCAAGCACGAGCCCCATGCCCGATGTACTGCACAAGTAACGCAATACCCTCTTCGCAGCTTCCCAGTGCACCTTTCGGTGTCTACCGGGAGCCTTGTAGTGAGCCAGGAGGCTGAGAGGGTATGCGAGGTCAGGTCGTGTGCACGTCATCAGGTACATGAGGCAACCCACAAGCTCTGGGTACGGACCACTCAGCTCTACGGACTCGTCCGAAGGTGGAGCTGAGAGCGAGTGGCCGGTAGACAGAGGAGTTGGCTGTGGCGAGGACCACGTGAAGTCGAAACGCTGAAGGACCTCCTGCACCATGTGTGACTGAGTGAGGGTGATGGTGCGACGTGCTCTGTCCCGGGTGATCTGCAAGCCAAGATAGCTCCGCAGCTCACCCAGGTCAGTGCAGGTGTGTCTCTCATGCAGCTCCGCCTTCACTAAGGCGAGAGCCTCAGTGTCAGCAGTAGCAAAAACCAAGTCGTCAACGAACACGAGAACGTAGAACGGAGGCAGAGAAGTGTCTGTGCTCAGAAACAACGAAGGGTCAGCAGTCGAGGGAGCGAAGCCAAGAGCCGCAAGTGTAGTCATCAGTGTGTCGTGCCACTCACGGGGTGCCTGCCGTAGGCCGTAGACTGGTCGCCGTAGACTCCACTGGGTACCCTCAGGAAAAGACCCAGTGAAGCCACGTGGGCGGCGCAACCAGATAGCCTCGTGAAGGCTGCCCTGGAGGAAGGCTGTCGAGAAGTCGAGGGAGTGCAGCTCGTAGTCGCGTAGTGCTGCAACGTGCAGTAGCACCCGAAGAGTGGGGGAGAACGTCTGGAAGAAGTCGACCCCCTCACGCTGACTGAAGCCTCGTGCAACGTAACGCGCCTTGAAGGCAGGCGGAGAACCCGGTAGCCGCTTCACCCTGAAAATCCACATGCCATCGACTATGTTCGCCCAAGGTGGGGGAACCTCGTCGACGTAGGTGCCTGTGGACTTCCAGGAAGCCATCTCTGCGTCCATGGCTATCTGCCACTGAGAGGAGTACGGACCCGTGATCGCCTCTGCGTAAGAGCGCGGGGTCGGGATGTCCAGTGCATCTGGGTCTCCCTCAGGGCAAAGTAGCGTGGACGCGAGATGAGGTGCAGCGGCCGCTAGGCACTCCAGCTCAAACTGCGTGTCCTCAAGAACGTCACAGCCAAGGTCAAGCTCACCCCCGACGGACGGAGGACAGGAAGAGTAAAAAACAAGACTCGCAGCGTAGTCAAGGCAGCACAAAGCAACAAAGTCAACAAGCTCAGCAACTAAGGCACACGCAGCAGCAGACTCAAAGGAAGGGTCAGTCACAACTGTGGCAAGGAGACGAGTGACAGTCGGACTGGCAGCACGGACAAGGTCAGACTCAGGGTCAGGAACGTGCGGAAGAGAGGACGCGGGAGGCTCAGGCAGGACAACACGCTGTGGAACAGAGGAAGGACGGAGTGTCATATCGTGAGTGCCTGGCACAACCGGAGCACGAGGACGACGAACACGACGAACACGAGCAGGGACAGAAGCTCTAGTCTCAGGCTCTCGACGCACAGGAGTGGAAGCACGAGTCTCAGGCTCTCAACGCTCAGTCAGGGACTCTGTCACCGCAGTGTAAGGAGCAGGAGCAGGCAGCAGGGAGTCAGGCCGTAGCTATGGCTGAGATTGGTCTGTCGGTGGGAACAGTAACGGAGGAGTAGTACCAGCGACAGGGAACTCAGTAACAGCAGGTGGGAAACTGAGAAGGTGATGAAGCGCAGACTGCTGCGGCTGAGTAGTCGCACCCCCAGAACCTCCAGCTCCAGTAGCAACAGCACCCCCAGAACCAGTACCTCCGGCTCCACCACCGGGACTGCCCCAACGGACAGCCCACTCGCGAAGCTGCTGCGGCGAGAGCGACTCCTGCTGACTAGCACCACCAACTCCAGTACCCCCAACTCGCGGAACAATGGCACTAGCACCTACATGGCTAGCACCTCCAGTACCTCCAGCAGCACCTGTGCCTCCAGTACCAGTACCTCTAGCACGGCCAACTCCAGGAACACCGGTACTAGCACCTCCAGGGCCAGCACCTCCAGTACCTACAGCAGCACATGTGCCTCCAGAACCAGTACCTCGAGCATGGTCAACTCCAGGAACACCAGCACTAGCACCTCCAGGGCCAGCACCTCCAGAACCTGCAGCTCCAGCATGTCCAGCGCCACCACCACGACTGCCCCAATGGACAGCCCACTCGCGAAGCCGCTCCGGCGAGAGAGGCTCCTGGCGACGTGAGCCAGCAGCACCCACAGCAGCAGCACCTCCAGTACCTCCAGTAGCACCAGTAGTCCCAGTACCTCCAGCTCTAGCAGGACGAGCACGGCTAGCTCCACCACCAGGGCTGCCCCACTGTACAGCCCACTCGCGAAGCCGCTCCGGCGAGGGAGTCTCCTGCCGACGTGCACCAGTGCCACCAGCACTAGCAACCCCAGTACCACCAGTAGCAGAACCTCCAGCTCCAGCAGTCCCAGCACCTCCAGCTCCAGCAGTCCCAGCACCTCCCGCTCGAAGACGGCTAGCTCCACCACCAGGGCTGCCCCACTGGACAGCCCACTCGCGAAGCCGCTCAGGCGAGAGAGCCTCCTGCCGACTCGTACCAGGACCACCAGCACCAGCACCTCCAGTACCTCCAGTACCCAGAGGACACTCAGCACCCCAAGAACCAGCACCCCCAGAGTCCGCACCCCCAGTGGCACCACCTCCTGCAGCACCAGAGTCCACAGCGACAGGCTGCAACGGCGGTGAAGACGGTCGAGGCAGAAACCCAGGAGGGACCGCCAAGCGCGCGGAGCGGCGGGAGGTCACGGTGGCAGCAGAAGTCGGGTCACCCCCCCCAGCTGGGCCAGAGGTGTCAGAGGAGACCTCGACTGGCTCAACCAAGGGGGACGGGTCAACCTGAGACACACCTGAGGGAGCAGGACCCTGCGGGGGAGTGGGGTTACCGGGGGGGGGGGGTCGGAGACCAGTGCGAGAGGCGGGAGGGGCACGGGTGAACTGCGGTGGGGGTGGAGACGGTAGAAGCAGACAGACTCGTCAAAGGTGACGTCCTGGGAGGAGAGAACACGACGAGAACCCAGGTGGTAAAACTGCCAGCCCGGGGCGTCGGTAGGGAAGCCAAGGAAGACGCAGCGAATAGTGCGGGGAGAGAGCTTCCCCGCGGGGGGGGGGGTCGCGAACAAGCGAAAGGGCACCCCAGACCCGAAACGCCGACGCATCACCAACCTCGCGCGTCCACCGCAGAGTGGGAGAGGTCTCCAGGTGGGAGACGCGGAGCCAGAGGTTGAGTTGCTCAGCAGCGTATCGGACCGCAAACGGCCACAGAAAATGGGGAGCAGCCGCATGTACGATGGGGGTGCGAGCAACCTCCATCACCAAGTCAATGCGGCGCTCTGCAATCCCATCCTGCTGGGGAGAGGCCGGAAGCGTGAACGTCTGGCGGATGCCCTCAGCACTACAGAAGTCCTCGAGGAGGCCGGAGAAAAACTCACCACCTCGGTCAGAGTGCAGTCGCAGGACTGGGAGGT